TATATGTAATAGGTATTTCATAACCTCCCACTTACAACTTCAGCACAAGATGCCGAAACCATGTGTACGTAAGGTGAATTGATCACACCGGTAGTAGTGCTGAAATAACGCTTGAAACCTTCATAGCAACAGAAAAATATCGCAGCAGTTGGTGCGCTACCAGCAGCAGCGGGTGCTAAACCTTTATAAACGCCACGAAAGCCGCCAGCACGCATGAAACCCAATTCACTTTGCAGCCTCGTTTTAACAGTATCGATGGGGAAAAGCGCAATATCAACAACCACACCAGCTACACCCCCTGCCTATGAAAGGAAGAGTTCTTGATTTCGTTTGGATTATGCTATATTTTCTTTAATTTGTGTGCTTACCACTAGTGAGTGCAGAAATGAATACTGCGGATGTATTTGGTCCACTTCCTTGCTGCCGTCTATTTCCATTTTCTTACACTTAACTGCTAGCCAGTTGCAAATAATTTTATTTTAAAAGTTATCCAGCAACTCCATCTTCCACTTAACAACTACCTTTTTTATCGAATGAAAACCAATCGGAGTTAGGGTTGCCAAACCTTCCTCATTCGGGGCGTGGAGTGGCGGTTGAGGGCTTTTTCCATTTTTACTTTGGTATGGGAAAAAGCAATCAGCAAACAAGTATTGCATTTTTCTAAAGTTTTTATTAAGTCCGAAAGTTTTAATTAGTTTTATAGTTTTGGCTAAAGCATGAAAACAATTTTTCTAAAATAAAAAAAATAAAATGTTCTTGAAAAACATTGTAAATATTTAAATAAAAAATTTGATGGTGATATTGAATTTTTATTTTCGAACGGTTTTGTTGTTCCCTAAGCGAATAAATCAATTTTTTGTTTTTACTACGCTTTCTACTACGATTTTCTAAAGTTTTTTTTTGTGAAAAAAGAGCACAAGGCAACCCAGGTTTGCAACAGAAATAAATGCCCGTTCCATTATTTCTTGAGGATGGAGTGAGGCAACAGGCTGTGAAGTATCAAAAACCTCAAAATTCCTTGGACACACACACGAAATAATTGCAATCTTTTCTTGACCGTTTTCTTGAGAGCTACATACAGGCCATTAGTTCTATCCCAAGTCCCTCAATTTGTTCTTATATGTACCCCTTTCGTGATTTTAGGTCTGGCAACCCTGATCATAGTTCAATGGCTGTCTTGAAGTTGGTCGCACTCGTTTTTTTCCGGCCGTCTGTTGCTGGCGATAATCAGCTGTTTCCTTATCAGTACAGGATGCGCCGAATGAATACCAATTTCTTTACCCTTACACAACGTTGCAATTTCGCAGGTTGCACGTGATGATTTTTTTGACGAGTTATTCGAAAAAAAATTTATAACGCATTTTCAACCGTTTTTCTGCAGTCTGTTTTAATTTTTTTTTGAGTACGTAAATTCATTAGGGAAGCTGAAATAAGTATCTAAATTAAAGAAAAAAAATAAACAACTCACCAAGAAATAGCACGTATGAGTTTTCAAAAATCAACCAAATCAAAGAACACCAAAAATATTTTTTTATTTATTTATTTATTTAAATAATAAAATACAAAAAAATGGTATAATTTCACCATAACCAAAAACACAATTCTCTGCACATAAAAACTCAATTACAAAAGCTATCGACATCTGAGAAATTGAACGAAAAATTGCCTACCGCCTTGAAAGAACAATTGCTTTCAAGCAATGTTCAAGTGTAAGCACATTGGTAGAACAGTGAGTGAATGCTAATTGAAAGCATTATTTTGAATATGTGAACCTCAAACATTAAGTAAAAATATCGTAATTACAAGTTATCGAGTAAGTATATTATAGGCGTTTTTAATTAATCCCAAAACTTGCTACTTTACATTCGGGTATAGCAGTTTGCCTTGGGTTGTTTTTTAATATTCATGGCAAAAAAAAATATGTTTCGCGTTTGCTTTTTGAGTTATGTATCAAGAAGCCAGGGGAATAAATCTTCATTTTGAAATCCAACGCAGTTTACTCTATCGACCTACTACAAGGACCTTTATAATGATTTAAGAATACAAACTATTATCGTTCAAACAAAATCGGACAGTGTAAGGGTCTGATTATGCATATTTCGCATAAGTTTCAAACAATTATTTTGTATACATTCCATTAACCAGAAATTAGCAAAACTTGTAAAAACTTAGCGATCTGTTTAGTTTAGATTTTGCTGTTATTTTCTTAAGTGACATTTTAATTGCAGTGGTTGTGCAAAGTTATGCAATGTATGCATAATCAGATGTTAAATCGCAATTCAACCGTTGTTGTTGTAACAGCATACAAACTCCCCAAAGACTTTTGGGGAGTGTTGCTGGAGTGACAGTCCTTGGCCAGATATAAATCTGGGTCGTTCCGGTTACGTAGACCCGACTGTCGTGGGAACGCAATTCAACCGTAAAATGTAAAAAATTTTTTTTTTTTTTTTTTTTTCAACCGTAAAATGTACGTGTTTCGGCTGGTCGATTCCTCAGACGATTTTACAATCGACCCGTGTAAAGGCCGCCTTACCCAACCGCCGATGAAATTAACCGGACGTCTTCACGTGATGGAAAATCTCGCTTGCGTGACGACGCATGCGAGAAACCGCACGTGCAGACCGCAAAAAGTACGAAGCATGCTTTTTCTCGCATACCGAGCGGTATGCGAGCTCTCGCTTGCTTTCAACTGTCATTTTTGTTGTTTGACAGCTATGTTCTCATTTCGCAGAATTCTTCAGAGTAGCAACATCGTTTATTTTGGAGGCAATTACAAATTAAGAGGCAGCCATTTTTCATTTGAAAATAGTATAAATCTCTTTATGCAGATTTTCTAATTTTCTCAAACTTTTAAGAGCCTACCAGGCTTGAACCTTCTTGTTTGGCGACATTTTACAAATGAAAAAGTATGCTGTCAAATGCCCAGTCAACAAAACTCTATCTCGCTTGCGAGAGAAAAAAGCAGAACGCAAGCGAGATTTTCAAGCATGTGAAGACGGCCGGTTAAACCACTCAAGGCCAGAATTATTCCAAGCATGATACTTTCACTTGTTGATTGTTGAAGGTTTATGGGTCGATTACGGATTGCAACCGAACTTCAGTTGGGTAGCCAATGGCTGAAATGGTATTACAGATGGCAACTGGCAGCTGAATTGCTATATTGGCAACTGCATTTTTTTTAGTGGCCGCAGAAATTTTGATGGAGTATTTCTTTTTTCAACTGTTTCTTCAGCTTATTTACATTCAAGTCTTAGTTGCTGGTTTTTCAAAATTTTATTTCCTTCAACTTTATAGAACTTAACTATAGTTGCTATTCATACGGGCAGGCTCTGTAATTCACTTCCGATTGAATTTCAACTCCTGCCAATTTTAATTCAAAGCGAGTTTGATTGAAATTCACTCGAAAGTGAATTGCTCAACCTGCCTGATAATATACATTTTCATTTCAGTGGCGTTGCCAATCGGCAACACAACTGCGCTTACGTTGCGATCCATAATCGACCCATTATATTGAATTAAGTGATGCCTTTGATCGCACCACTAAACGAGCTTTTTTCTACATACACATAATAAAAAGAAGCGCAATTACCTCCTTGTATCCCGTTGTTTACATTTTATTACCTTTTTGTAATATGTATATTATTTGTTAATTTATGTTTATGATAAACACATACTTGCTCTTAATAGTACATTAATTAAATAGTATTTAATTCCATCGTCATGTTGCTAACCTTCAAAGACTTTTTAAATTTTTTTATTCGATTAATCTTTTACACATAAATAGCAATTTTCATTTTTTAATACGTAGTATATTTTACAACTTTTATCTTCCCTACTTCTCGTATCGTTTGTTTGTTTAATATTTGTTGCCCTACCTCATCCGGCAAAAGATGGCCATTGCTATTACTAGGTTGGTTGTTTTGTTGGCTGCCCGGGATCAATGCATGCGCGTCTCCCAATATTATATATGTATATAGTACTTGTAATGTTAATTTTCGTCGGGCCAGTAACACGCCTCAACTTGTCATTTGGCAATTAAAATCAATTATAAAAAATGAAAGCGGCGCACGTAAAATTTGAATTTTTTTGTTGTTGTATGGCCAAAAGATTTCATGCACTTACTTTTTTCTTTTGTTTGTTTATCTGACTCAACACATGGGTCATGTATTTGTAACATAAATTATGCTTATCTACCTGTTGTTTCGCCCTAAAACGTGATATACTATTTTGGGGTCAGTTTTTAGATGTTTCGCTTTTTAGCTAAAACTTGGTGTCATTACGTACATATGCCTGTATATTTAAGATTTTTGTGTGGATTGGCCACACTACATACTGATAGTATTAGTAGTTGTTGATTTCTTTTCACTTATAACTTTTTTCATAGACATGTATTTTAATGTATAATATAGTATATTTTAATTGCTTTTTTCCATTTGTTGTATGTTCAGAACATATTTGTAAACATTTTCCTATGA